GACCAAATACACTTCTTCCAAATACACCTTTTTTTTAAGTTCCTTCATCCCTACACATATATTGGTTCCAGTTTGATCTCATAGTGTCAGTCTGCAGCCCCTCGGCACTCTGGGTATTCACTGTTGGAGGGCAGAGCGAGAGAGGAGCAGCGAGATCGGGAGAATACTTAAAATTGTTTGCTAATCCCGACGTTGTACTTGAATGAATATGTGTGACATTGTGCAGGACGCACACACACACACACACACACACACACACACACACACACACACACACACACACGGTGCCGGCTCTCTTCCACCAGTTAAAGGTCAGCGTATGTATAATGCAACAGAGTCATCCTCTGTCTCACGTCACCCTCCGTGAGAAGAAACCTTTTTCTTCTTTTCCAGAAATTTCTCTGTGACAAAATAAAACAAGAGGAAACTGTCAAAGACTGAAGTGCGTCTCTGAGTGAAAGGGTTAAACACACACACACACACACACACCCACACACACACACACACACACACACACACACACGCTGGTTGGATAATGAATGTTTTTACTAGAGCTGATGTTGACCCAACATATTTTTACATGAGAATGACGTGAGTGAAAGAAACGGCAGTGAAAACGTGTTTAGGTGTGAACTTCCTGAGAGATAACATTGAAGAGAACAGACAGAAGGTGATAAGAGTAAAATACAACATGAGTGAAACATGTAGATAAGTGTGATGGTGTTGGACCACGACTCTGAGAGCAGTCTTAAGGACTGCTCAGTCTTTAAGACCGAGTTGGTCTCATTCTTCCTGCCAGATCGACTTCTTACAGAACCTGCCAGCAGATTCCTGCTGTTTGATTTTGGTGCAGTCAGCGGTTTTTAGCTGCAATAAACATAATGAGGATAATAGCACAGTTTGAGTAATAGACCATATTCACACGGCGGCCATATTCCTCTGACGTCACGCTCACATTCTGTCACTGAGAGGACGCTGCGGTTCTGCTGTGGACCAGGTTTAAACATCATTATCGACCAGTCTGCCCATTCGTCTCTTGGCTGATCCTCAGTACTGGTCTGAAGTCAGACCTGAGTCTTCGCTCTCACCTGCTCCTGGCGGCGAGGCCAACTGTTGGCCGTCATGATGGAAGACAGAGGCGGCTGTCAGAGCGAGCCAGCTCGGTATTTTTAGACGGTTCAGGTGATCTCACTAATGAGACAAAGCTCAGAGGAACTCGTGTCTGATTTGAGCTAGGTGTGTGTGTGTGTGTGTGTGTGTGTGTGTGTGTGTGTGTGTGTGTGTGTGTGTGTGTGTCTTTGGAAGAGGCCATTTGTTGAATTAGCTGGGCAGTGTTGAAGTGTTCAGCGATTAAGGTTAATCCTTGAGTCTTGGTGATGTAAGAACTGTCGTTTTCCCTCCGTCCCTCTCTCTTAATACCTCTCTGGCACGTTTAGTCCTCGCTGTAGAAAACCTGTTTGTGTGTGTGTGTGTGTGTGTTTGTGTGTGTGTGTTTTGGGAGGGGGGGTGGTGGGGTTGTCAGTGGCACCCATTCTGCAAACAAGGGTGCCCTGTGCGCTCGGGTGTGTACATACACCATGTGTGGATGCATGTGAGCGCGTTCACTCGCATGAGCCTCGGTGTTGTCGTTGGAGCGGGGGGGAAATGATGCATCACGTCTGGAGGAGAGATAAAGCGGAGGAAAGGAAGAAGTGAGAACGGATGATAGTAGACGCCGGGCCCAAAACAAATGGCGTCTGCTCCCCGAGCGCGCCTCCGTCTGAATCAGTGAGGCCGCCGTCACTGAAGCGAAACGCTGCTTCTTAAGAAGCCGAGAAGCTCGTTTCTCTGTTTGTTCTGCATCTGATTTCTGCAACTGAACAATCATGAATTCCCAGACAGAGACGGGCCTCGAACACGAGCCTGTTCAAACACAGACTTTGCTTCTAATTTCCTCTGTTTTATGAGCACATTTGATCTCGTTCTGAAGAACTCCGTCTGATCTGCTGCTGCTTGAGTTGGCTGTTGATCAGGGGCTGCAGCTCGGGATTATTTCCATTATCTGTTGTTGTCTTGATTAATCGAAAACAGTAAAAAGCTGAAGGCCGTGTCAGATATTTGAACCAACAGTCCAAAATATTCAAAAAAACAAAAAAACACTGAATTTACTGTCACAAAAAAAAGAAAAGACAAGCTGCGACTGGGGAATGTTTATTTTTTTCCATCGATCAATGAGTCGATTAATTGATGATACGGACTCAACAGCTCCTCAACAATGATGCATTCAGGATCATGTGCATCGGGCACACAGCCACAGACTGTAAACACAGAGGGACGCACGGCCCCGACTAAAACACACTTCACCTGCCCAATCACCTCGTTTATCTATTAGCAGATTGTAAGAAAAATTAATTGCAACTATTTTCATAATCAATTAATTGTTTTTGTCCAATGAGAAACAAACAAATACAAAAACATTTGATGCTTCCTGTTTTGTTTTTTTTTTTTCAAGTGAGAGAATTTAAATAACTTCAGGTTTTAGACAATCAGCTGTTCTGAAGACGTCTCCCTGAGCTCATGTTTTTACAGACCTGACAATTAATTAATGAATCGATAAGATAACCAGCAGATTAATTGATGATAAAAACAGTGGTTAGCTGTAGTGGTTTCTAACTTTTCCTGTGATTTGACTGTGATGGAGCAGATCAGTGACGACAGGAGGGAGAAGCAACTCGACGATCTCTCTGTTTTTGTTATTTGTGTTTTTATTTCCACCTCGTTGTCAGACAGTCCACAACACGATGCCCCGCAGCACCGTCAGGAAGGTCAGAGCGGCCGGCGAGACTCGTGATCCGACTTGAGGATGAGATCTTGTTAGCCGTCTATTTTTTGCTAATACCTGATGCTAATCAGGTAAAGCCACAGAGAGCACCGTACCGACACGGTGTGGGGGGGCGGGGCAACACGCCGCCTGGACATGTGTCCGTGGAGTCAGGGCCTCGCCTCCTGTCCAGCAGCTCAGTCTACTGTACAAGTCTGTCTCCTCACCACTGCACGCATATAGCCCGTAGCCATGGAGGCAATTTCCATGGCGATGGCGCGTCTCATCTCTGCAAGCAAAACGTGGATGCAATTTTATTTCCCCCCTCTCCCCTCCCCTCCTCTTCCTCAGATAATGTTTCACAGAGTGTGGATTTGACGACACGTTGTGAGATTTTTATCCACTGTTGGTGCGTTTGAGTGCGACGCCGAGTGTGTCATCTTCAGCCAGTAACGCCCGGTGCCATTTTCTGTAATTATGAGGTGTGTGTGCGTGTGTGTGTGTGTGTGTGTGTGGCTCAGAATCAGCTGCTGTAGCCGCCCTAATAAGAACAAGACAACCTCAATCCATTATTAAGGCTAATACAGTAAATGGAGCTGCCCCTCTTTCATGTTTGTGTGTGTGTTACAGTTGTTTACTTCAGTGTGTGTGTGTGTGTGTGTGTGTGTTTGTGGGCCTTCCACCAGTGTAATATCACCTAATGTAGGCTACACTATTGTCTCACTTTATCAACAGACAGAATAGACGGAATATTTATCTGCAAATATTCTGATAAATAATAGTTTTAGTCCAGATATTTTCTGCTTCCAGCGTCTCTCGTGTTTGGATTGGATTATTTTCTTTGTCACATACGATACTGAACAGATTATTTTTGCGTCGGTGAGAAACCCAAATGTTTTTCTGAAGATTTAATACTTTTTGTTGTTGTTTCCTTAGATCTTTTTCTTCACCTAACTTTAAATGTTTTGCAGCTGGGAGTAGCCACGCTGCAAAATCAAGTATTACTGACTGTTTCTAGTTTAATTCAGTCACCTGTCCACTGTGGACACTGACACCCCCCACACCGGCTTAGATTTACGACATAGTGTGGAAGTCGGACACAGAATCAGTTTATTACAGTGATATTCAAATTTGTTTTATTTTATTAAAATGCAGAAACATTTAACCAGTGATGTTGGTCAGTAATTTATTTATACAGACAAAAGACTGCAGTTTACTGTTTAAAATTAAAAAGATGCATGATCAAACTTTTGCTTGTATTCTCCCAATTGGTCGGAAAGCGATCTTCACGGTCAGGTTTGTTTTATATTGGATTTTACTGGAATAATAGCCTGAAAATACCGCGGCCCCTTCTGTTTGTTCTGAGGAGAAGCAATTCTGAATCCCAGGAGCCCCAAAGATTTTATTTTAATATCTTAAGGCCCTTTTCCACTGGTCAAAAAACCCGCTCCGACCCACTCATATATAAAACTGCATTCACTCCCAGGTCAAATGACTCTGCAGTAACCACTGTGAACACCTGTCACCTGTTAAATGAAAGAGTGAAGCCGCAGCCCTGAAATAAGTTTCAAAAACACACGATCACCGATCGAAGCGCCTCGCATGGAGGCTCTGACACTTTCACAGGAGCAACAACCCGAAAATCAGACGCCACAGATTTGTCTGACCAGTTTGCACGGCGGCTAGCAGCTCACTGTTTGTCTCCTGTGTGTGTGTGTGTGTGTGTGTGTGTGTGTGTGTGTGTGTGTGTGTGTGTGTGATGACATTGGTCAGTGTGTTTTATCGGGTTTACCTGTGGTCAGAAAACCTGCTAACTTTGGTGTTTGGTTTTTTTCACTGTCTTCACTTCTCTTGATCCACTTTGCTTTTATTTAGAAAAGTATGAGGAAGATATCCAGCATTAGTAATAACGTTCACACATCACTGACTGACGGTGAAAACGCCTCAAATATGGATCTTGGATTTCTACCAGATTTCATGGGAATGCGTCCAATAGTTGTCAAAATATTTCAGTCTGGACCGAAGTGTTGGAGCAGCAGCTCGGCCGCCGGTGCCAGCTCCTCCTACAGAACTCTACGATTTTATCACTGGCGTGGAGTTCACTGATGAAGCAGCTGAGTGTTTGTAAAACAATAAAACAGTGAACAGGTTCAGGTCGTCTCTCCTCACCGCGTCTCCTCTCTCTCTGTGTGTCCTCCAGGCTTCCTGCTGTTCAAGGACTTCTGTATGAACGAGATCGACGAGGCCGTGCCGCAGCTCAAGTTCTACGAAGAAGTAAGTCGAGCGTCAACGAGATCAGACGGCATCATGGGAAGGGTCAGAGATTACGCCTGTAATCTCGTTCATTCAGATTTAGGCCTCACAGGAGGCGATTTGCCTTGTTTTGTTGTGGCGTCTGAGATGACCGTGTGTGTGTGTGTGTGTGTGTGTGTGTGTGTGTGTGTGTTTCAGATTAAGGACTACGAGAAGCTGGACTCGGAGGAGGAGAGGTTGAGCCGCAGTCGGCAGATTTACGACGGCTACATCATGAAGGAGCTGCTGTCCTGTTCACATGTGAGGACGCCTCCCTCAGATCCACACTGCGTCACTGATGCACTCTGGGTCAAACACACACACACACACACACACACACACACACACATGTGGTGGGCGGGGGAGGAGGAGTCTCTGTGATATGACTGACAGGATGTTTTTCTCTGATCTTTTTAAATGTTGGATAGTTTTACCGCCTTTTTTTATTTTTCTAGCATATGTCAGAAAAAAGGTAAAAACGTCCGTCAGAGTCCAAGATGACGTCATCAAATGACATGCTTCGTGTGAGCGGCTGTGTAAAGCCTAAACATATTCGGTTTACAGTGATATAAAACAGAGTGAAGCAGCGAAGCCGCACAGTGGAGAAGCTGGAAACACAGATTGTTTCATCTCCAGTGGATGCAGATTTCTTTTCTGTCAATCGACTAATATAACTAAGATTATTTCAGTGGAAATCCGCTCAGAGCTCATAGATGAATACAAGTAGAGGTGGTGTCATTTTAAGGAGGCACAAGACAAAAGGTTTTGTGAACCACTGACATCCAAGCCCAGAACATCACACTGTTTATAACAATAGAATAGAAGCAGAGTAGAAAGTCTTTATTGTCATTATATTTAAAGTACAACTAGAAATAAATACAGTAGAAGTGTTACTCCTGATTAAGTTAAAAAGAAACACATGCACGCAATAGAACAGTTATAAAACTACAGTTCTATCAACTCTGGATGTTTCTGTAAAACTTATCTCTCGTCAACGTTCCAGCAAAGACATTAAAATCAGTTTAAAGCTCCGTAGTTTCAACAGGTCGGTGAGCCAATCAGAAGAGAGGAGGCTCTGAGCCTTTCTTCTGATTGGCTGACTGTTTTCTGAGTGATCCAATAAAAATATAGCAGATTTCAGGTAAAAACACTCAGAGAAACCAAATCCTGCAAGCTTTGGATGGTGGGTCCAGGTGGGCGGGGCTTGGTGACTGCTTTGTTGTGACATCACAAAGTTCCAGAAGTCCTGACGGCTGGTTTTAAGGCTCAGTTTCTGAATACAGGCTGTGTGCATTTCTCTGTGGACTGAGGCTTTGATACTTTCACAGTATTAATACAGAAGCTAGACCTGATCTATAATCACTCTACACATGGACACAGACCTTTAGACTGGAGGAGCTTTGATATAAAAGGAAACACTGAGAAATGAGTCTCTTTTACATTATTGAGGAGATTCCTCTGGTGTCAGATGAGTCAGTGTGTGAGTAATAAAGATGTTTCTCCTCACAGTGTCGGCACAGTCGTCGCTGCCGACTGCAGGGATGAAATCCTCTGACTGTGTTTTACACAGAGCATGTGAGCAACTGAACTTCCTGTCATTCTTTGCTCGTGTCACATCACGTTCAGTCATGATGAAACTGAAGCAGGACAACGTCCCTCACATGAGTGGAGGTCGTTCATTAAGACCTTAAACGCAACATAACAAATACATCGTGACTTTTTAACTCATCGCTCCCCGGTGCCAAACACCTTTCTGTAAACGTCCGGTCATGACTCAGGTCTGAATGATGCAGTGAGCAACGTTTCGACCACAGACACCTACTGTGCGTCTCTGTGACAAAAAGCCACCAGACGAAACCAGCAGTGTCACAGATTCGGCATCTGATGGGGAGCCTGAACGCGTTGCATAGATTTTGAAACCTGAACGTAGCAGAAAAAGGAAAATACTCAAAGAACAGATAGCTTACAATTGTATTTGAGTACATGAACAAAGACTTATCATGTAATGAACATGGAGCAATGATGGGAAATCCTTGCTGTATAGCGTGTGTTGGAAACCCCCCCCTGACAGTGCAGCTTTTGCCCTCCTGCAAGACAACAGTGTTGTATGTAAAGCAAAGTTAGTGTTAGCTGCTGTCTGGAGGGAGGAAGTTATTGAACACACCGCCCCCACACACACACACACACACACAGATATAAGTCCTGTAGAGGCCTTGCTGCAGCCTGACGTCCAGGTCATGTCACAGTCAGGGATGTTCGCAGAAAGCAGAAGTGAAATTACTGGTAAAACTGCATTTTTTTTTAATGATCTCTTTATTTCCTTCTCTGTATTTCAGCCTTTCTCCAAGAAAGCGGTCGACCATGTGCAGAGTCACCTGGCAAAGAAACAGGTTCCCCCAACTCTCTTCCAGGTAAAAGACCTTTCAACACTTACAGTACACACACACACACACACACACACATATATATACACACAGAGCTCAGCCATTGTTCATGTTGTGTTCACCACAGCTTCTCATAATGTTATAATCCGACACAAAACAGTGAGGAATCATATAATGAGAGTAGCACAGATTATAATCTCAGCACGACAAATAGCGAGTGCTGTGGACTAATTAAAATAATGGTGTTCTCGCTTATTCTTTTGTCCTTTACACCTTCAGCTCATTGGAGGGTGTAAATTACACACAATCATTACACACAATGCACTTTCTCAAAGTGGCTGCGGGGGATTTGTGTCGGGGTGAGGTGGAAAAATGTCCCGGCACAATTTTCATATGAGTCAATATTAGTAAATAAAACGAAAAGTATGAAGTCAGTCTGTCCCTTTTAAAGGGTTGAATTTTCCCTTAAAAGATCAAAATTCCCTGTTTCACTCAGAGCGAGAAAAAAGGCCGAGAGCTACGGCGGCCCGGAGAGGTCAACACACCGCAGCCTAAAAAACACGTGCAAATATACGAAACACAAACAAACACAGAAAACATCTTCATCAGTTTGACAAATACTCACAACACAACAGGAAGTGTTTCCAGGGGGACACTAAAAAAGTGACGAACCAGGCTGAGACGCGCTTGCTGTTCAGTACTTTGTGACTTTTGAAGTTAAAATCATTGAACAAGTGCGTCCCAGCCTGGTCCGTCACTTTTTATTGTCCCCCTGGAAACACTTCCTGTTGTCGCCCGTGCTACGTTTCTGTTTTTGGTTGTGTTGTGTACATTTGCAAATCTATTTAAATAAACAAATCCTACAAAAAACAAAAAAAAACAACTTGTAGCAGATCATTAAATAAAAAAATAAAAAATCCTGCAGTGTGAAATTGTTTACCGCCAGAGAGCAGATCAATACTTTTATCACTAAAAATCTGTCGTTCTCGATCGAGTGTATCAGCCTTTGTCTTCAGATTTTGATAGATAGATAAAGATGCAGTTTGTTGCCGGGGGTGGGTCTAATCGCTGGTGTCGAGACTAAGTGGTTGCGCTCTGCAAGGCGAGTTTGTTTGCGTGGTGCTCTTTAACAACGAGGCGTTTAAAAGCACTTCACATACGACACCGAGGAAAATCAGACGATGTATAAATAGGATTCTAAACAGTAGAATAAAACAGATTAAGCAGTGAAATGTCTTTAAGTAGCCTCGTCCTAACAGTGACCGCTCCTCCACAGAGTCTAAGTGTTTCCACACCACCAACATCTCGTTACCTCGTTTACCCGCAGCAGCTCTTTATGTTGTTAATGCTGAGGCGCTGATTTCTGCTCGCACTTGAATTTTCCTCAGAGTGAGCGCTCGTCTCTGTTCTGACTTTTAACAGCAAAAACATCACCGCGTGATCTGTGTCTGCGACCTGATTGGCCGCGAACATGTAAAGAAATCATTTCTGTCGCCCAGGATGTGTTTATGTTTTCAACAGTATTTTTAAACCCCACATTTTCACATTCGTACCGCTGCTAATTAGCATCAGTTGCCAAAAGGCAACCGAGGAAAAAAAAAGAACAGAGAAAGAGAAACAAGAGATGTCTTCTTTCAGCGGTAAATCTAATCTAATCTGTGAGTAAATCTAATCAACAATTTCCTCTTTTAAACTACAACATGGCTTTTATTCTGGATATAAAATTATCCCCAGTGACTGACTCAAAGACATCACATCAACCTGTCACTATTTCCTGTCGATTTTGTTGCTCAAACTCGTGAAAGCGTAAAAGACGTGGAACGTTCAGCGCGGGAGAAAAGAAAAGCAACAGAGGCCGTAACGCGGCGTCGTCTCGCCATGACAACGCACAGAAGATACATTCACATACATCTGTAAAGAATTTTTATCACGTTGTTACTGAGGCGCAGACTGAAGAGAAACGCTGTTTATGTGTCTGTCCCCCTGCAGCCATACATAGTGGAGATCTGTGACAGCTTGAGAGGGAAGATCTTCCAGAAGTTCATTGAGAGGTGAGGCGGTGGAGGAGGAGGAGGTGGAGGAGGAGGAGGAAGAGGAGGTGGAGGTGGAGGAGGAGGAGGAGTTTCACTTCATTTGTTCCAGCACATCACCAGCAGATTCACATTTTCATCTTCACCTCTTTTCTTTTCTTTCCCCCCCTTCAGTGATAAATTCACTCGTTTCTGCCAGTGGAAGAACGTGGAGCTCAACATCCATGTGAGTACGAACTACAGTTCCCATAATGCTTTAGGGGATTTAAACAGTACAGTAGGCCGTGTCATCCGGAGGCTGCATTTGAAGACCAGTTGCGTCACAACGGCGCGACTTGGCGTCGCATTTCGAAGGCTCCTTTAATCCGTAGAGAAATGCAGCATTTATTTTTTTCCCAACCTATCCCAAGATGCATTGCGTGCAGGTACTGAGAGCAAACAACGCCAACATGACAGCCTGGGGGGGGGATTCCACTTTTAGATGTAAATATTGGGCAGATTGAGCTGTTCGCCGCGACGAAACAGGATCTAAGTTGAGTCATTAAAACAAAAACATAAAGCTACAGGATGGTGATGTCATCAGGGAGGGACAGTTCAGAGGACGTCGTGAAGACATGAGAATAGAGCAACTCAGTGACAGATGGAGGCGGTCCGGTTGTCGTGGAAAAAAGTACTTTTAAGGGCTTCGCTCATGTTGTCGTGGTTACCTGATGATTGGTGACAGCTCACGTGTTCAGCAGATGGATCAAGTGAATCAAGGGCCACATACTAGCTTCTTTTTACAGAGCTTTCAGGAGTTGTATCATGGTCTTCATCAGCAGGTGTTTGCTGAGGTGTCGCGAGCATGACGTGACCAAAGTTTCATAATTAGGTTTCATGATGAAAACTTCATCTGCTGAGTAAAAACTGAATGGACTTTCTTCTACAATTTAATATTTGTTCAGCTTTTGAATTTATACTATAATCACAAATCTACTGTCACAATCCGGTTCCTGAGTTTGTTTGACCCACACCGAACAAACTGTGCTGCCTCTGTTAACATCCCTCTGCCCCCCCCCCTCCTCCAGCTGACCATGAACGACTTCAGCGTGCATCGGATCATCGGCAGGGGCGGCTTCGGGGAGGTGTACGGCTGCAGGAAGGCCGACACGGGGAAGATGTAAGAACAGCTACACGCACGGCCGACGGGTGAGAGTGAAACTGAAAGTTGGCGCTCTGACCGTCTCTGTTGTGTGTCGCCGTCAGGTACGCCATGAAGTGTCTGGACAAGAAGAGGATCAAGATGAAGCAGGGGGAGACTCTAGCGCTCAACGAGAGAATCATGCTGTCGTTGGTCAGCACAGGGGTGAGTGATCCACCGGACGTTTCACCTTTCTCACTGCGTCACACTCCCACTGCGTTTCACAGGGAAAGTTTTTACTGCACGACATTAATTTGACAGACAAAGATACGAGTTACTGCACACGTAATTCAAATAGTGCAACGTCAAGAGCAGGAGCTGCAATTCTTTTGATAAAGACAAAATGTGTCACAAAAAAAACCCCACATTTTATTTCAGAGTAGATGAAATAAAAAAAAAAAGACCATTACAACGGAAATCATGACTCATGTTGAAATCACAATATCTGACGAAATAATTGCAATATGATTTTTTTTATGTTCTACTTGATATTTAACAGATTGATTAAACATTTTAAAAAAAAGCATGAGATAGAAGTTCTGGTGAAAGGTTTAACCAGCGGTTTCCAACGTTACTGGCGTGTGACGTATTTAAAAAAAAAACGTACTGTGTGACATCACGTCTCCGGCCGATACGTGATGATATTGAATATCACCGTTTTCCCAGCAAATGTGATATTTTTTATAATATTGGAAAAAAAATAAATGAATTAACAGTTTTGTTTTACTTTACAGTGTGACAAGTAAAACTGCTGTTTAGTGGCAGCGTCACTGATACCTGAAACATGACGCACAATAATATATTTATATATTATTAACACCTGAAACAGGAAATATAATAAGATAATACTTCATCACCAGTGCTGAGAATATTCCTGTACTTTTAGTTGCAGTGTGTTTGCAGTAGTATTTTTACATTATGTGATTAGTGATCTGTGCAACAGATGAACTGACTGAGTGAGTAAGTTTAAGTATGAGACCAAGAAAAGGAGAAAACCTTAAATACTTCAGTTCACATTTTAAGGAGAAGACTTTGTTTTATGCAACTGTTTTTATTTTAAGGAAAATCTTAACTTAATGTGTAGAAGCTTCTTTTTTGTGACATGTAGTATTCATGTGATTTGAACTTGAAGAATAAATCACGTCCACCTGATGTAGAGAAACTCAAAACCATCATCATCATCAGCATCATCATCATCATCATCATCATCAGCATCATTTACCTGCCTAGTTGTTGGTGGTTTGACTCTCTGTGTCTCTGCAGGACTGCCCATTCATCGTGTGTATGACGTACGCCTTCCACACCCCCGACAAGCTCTGCTTCATCCTCGACCTCATGAACGGTAAGGTGACACACACACACCCCCCCCCCCACCTGCCCAGATTAAACCTCCGCCTCAGTCGGTCTGTCTGAGACAGAAAGATTGGATTACTCAGCCTGTCTCCGGCCGCTCAGCTCACCCCTCCCCCCCCGGAGAATCAGAAGTTGATGGGATTTTGACCTCGGTGATGACGCTTCGCACCGTCGCCGCCTACGTGTATGAGCCCTCCCCAGCCCTCTTGTAACTGACGACTCATTGTTAGTGTTTCCTGTGAAGGAACGGCCGGCCAGCCGCCAGTTTCTGAGCCTTATCAGAGGCTGCGCTCACCGTTTCCAGACAGCCTCACAATCAAAGCCTGAGTCACCTTTTAAAGTCATCATCATGGTAGAGTGTAAAGTGTGCGGCTGTAGAAGCTTCAGTTGAGATATAAATACAACCAGTCAATACACGTTAAGACGGAGACGCTCGGTGTGGAGGGAAGAGTCATCGGAGGCCTCCCATCGATTCTCATTTTCTCCCCCGAGAAGAATACCACAACCTATTGATGGATATTGATTGATGTATGAAGTGTTATGAGGTCATACTGACGCGCTCTGGTTTGTGTGTGTCTCTGTGTGTGTGTGTGTGTGTGTGTGTGTGTGTGTGTGTGTGTGTGTGTGTGTGTGTGTGTGTGTGTGTGTTCAGGGGGCGACCTGCACTACCACCTGTCTCAGCACGGCGTGTTCAGTGAGAAAGAGATGCGTTTCTACGCGGCTGAAATCATCCTGGGTCTGGAGCACATGCACAACCGCTTCGTCGTCTACAGAGACCTCAAGGTAGAGCCCCCCCCACCCCCATCACCGTCAACACACACACACACACACACACACACACACACTGCCCTGCTGCGTCAAACACTCACTAAAGAACCAAATGTGCATTAATCCGCCTCTGAAAATAGTCCCTGTTTCCTCCTGTTTGAGTAACATTTATTGGGCTGAAACTAACGGTTAAGTTTCCTGTTTATTTGACAAAGAAAATCTTTTGTTTTGAGAAGCTGAAATCTACAATTATAATATAAATAATATTAAATCTTTCATTTTTATTTATTTCATTTTTATTTATTTTTCTCCAAAGTATATTTATTGAGTTTTGTTCTTGTGTCCTTCCTTTACTTAAATAAATAAAATAAAAGCCACAATATATATTTTATTTTGTATTTTATATATAAAGATAAACAATAATAATAATAGTAATAATAATAGAATTTTTTTCTTTTTTCTGGAAATCATTGAAACGACTTACTGATTGATAATAATTGATAATAATTATCTTCCTGACGATCGACCGGTTGATTAATCAGCTAATCATTTCATTTCCTGACCTTTGCTAAAACTAAGTGACCAGCTGTAAACAGACATTACTGAACCTCTTCGTTTTCACTGGATTTGTTAACAGTAAGAAAAATATAGATTTAATAGATTAGGCTGTTGATCAATCAAAAAACTAATGAGAATGATCATTAGTTGGAGCGCTGTCATGTCGCCTTGATATTAACATTGTAAAATACCTTCTGTATCTTCCCCAGAATCTTTAGTCATTAACATAAACTTAAGATTCCTCTCTATATATGACTGTATTGACGACTTGAACTATACTTCATGTTTATCTTATCCTCTGAATCTCACTGAGCTTCTTCTAATCCTCCAGTTTTCTTTTCTCACCTTGTGTAAAATAAACCAATAGAAGCTGAAGAGAGAAAGAAACAGAGGTTGATTTTTATATTGTTTAAAGGTGAAACTTCTGACAGAGGAATGATGAATTAAAGCCCTGAACATCACAGCGGTGTGCCGCGTGCCTCAGTCCACCCATCCAGCACAACACCTCCACAGATGCCGTTTCAAAGCCGTAGATTCATATCAGCCATGTTTTCAACCGTCTTCTGTTTTTCCTCCAATTCCCCTGTTTGGACTGGTTGCCATAATAATAGATATATTTTGCTGGAAGTCAGGGAACAGTTTTAGGGCTTTAATAAACAGTGCAGTACGATGCAGATAATACTTTGAGGCTGAGTGTTGGAGGGGGGAGGGGGGGGAGTGAGTGAGTCACGGTTTTTGCCAAACACTGGAGGATAACCAGGACAGGAGGCTTTCGTTTATTGCCTCTATCCACACTGAATTTTCTCCTGGTGAGCGGAAATTGTAAGTTAAGTTGTGAATTAGCGAGGTCTCCAATATTGTTTCCAATACTTATGATCTTATCTGTCCGTCAGTATCACTCTCTCTCTCTCTCTCTCTCTCTCTGTGTCCTCCTGCAGCCAGCTAATATCCTGTTGGATGAACACGGTCATGTTCGTATCTCCGACCTCGGCCTGGCCTGCGACTTCTCCAAGAAGAAACCCCACGCCAGTGTGTGAGTGCAGCTACCTGTGTTAACGCCTGTCACTGGGTTTCAATCTGTGTCTCAGATTGGTCGTTTTTTTTTTTTAAATATTCCTCTCTGCATCTTTATGAATTAAGCTGCCCACCAAAAACAAAATGATTCACATTTGTAACCCTAAGAAATGTCTCTATAAACCATTATTCTGGAAACCAAAAGGAAATTCCACATAAAAACAACAACATATGAGCATTGTTCTGTCATTTTGGAAAAGGAAATCGTTCACATATGTAACCCAGAAAAAAAAAAACAGCTTTATACAAATAATTCTTTTAGCAAATTAAACATTTTCAGATTTATATTTTATATTATTCTTTAATTTAACACCAACAATAAAAAACACATTTATCCTTTTATTTGTAATGTTTTTGTCCATTAAACTGACAAACGGCTCTCGGATCATATTTACTCTCCTGTTCTGAAATAAACTTTGGTTCACGCTCTGGAGAGATTTAGCTCTGAACGTTATTTAAACTAAATCATTCAGTTTCACCGCATGACAATTTGGAAACAATGGATTTGTATGATCATGACATATTGGCTCGTTTTTGTAGGAGGACTATTGAATTAATCTTTTATTTTAAAGGTCGACCCCCCCACTTCTGATTAACTTAGTATTATATTTATACAGAATTGCTGCTGACGTGGATATTTTTTCTTTAATATAATCAATAGCATGTTTCCATGTGAGTTTATGATCAGTCACAATAATTACATAATAATGAATAAGTCCACATGACAAATACTCTACACAGAGCTGTGTTTCATCAGCTCTGTGTAGATGATTCATCATTTATCAGTCGACTCGTACAACAAAGGAAAGAGACAAAAGCAGATGTAAAAGTTTCTGTATCAGTCAATAATCAACATTTCAGATCAGCTGATCATCAGGTTGTGAGTCTGTAACTTCTGCCTGTCTCAATCAAAACAATGAAAGACTGTTTGGGAGATGTTGCCTTCTCTTCTTCTTCTTCTCGTAAATCGAGAATTGGTTTTTTACCAGCAGCCGAATGATCCACAGAGATCTCGTCCTCTGCACAACAAACACACCAGGATTAAAACCAGTAGAGACTCCGAATAAAACAGTTTCACTATTAAAATCTTTATTTCGCCAACACAGCTCAGCAGACACAGGATGCCCCGAAGTTGAGCTGTCTGACGTTTCCTCAGCTTGTTTCTCTGATAACTTCAGATCCAGACGTCCGACGACTAAAATCCTTCATCTGCTTCAAACAAAGAGCTGAAAACCACCAAGTGTAAAAAGTGAATCTGAAAAATGTGACTTCAATCTGAATAAAAGTCCATTTTGAGCTTCTAAGTGATCATAGAGGAAATGATGTCATTGACAGGCGACCAATGAAACGTTACCAAGATTAAAATCACAGATTTCTCTGGTTTGAGAATTGATGGGAACATTTGGGATGATGTAAGATGTGGACCCAACAACATATAGAACAGAGATCTGGTTGATTTTAGACCTTTTAATGTGGAAAAGTTACAGATTATACCTTTGATAATGCTAGCATTAGCCTCATTAATATTAATGCTGATTAGCTCCAGCTAAGAAAAACTAGCAGCCGACACACAGATAAACTCAGTCTGTGTTTTGTGTTTTATAACCTCTGTTACTCGCATCAAAGCCCAGCTCTAATCTAAACTGATAATTACTGATAATTAACAGCAAATACTGTACAAATACAAATGATCATGAGCCCGTCAGTGGTGGAGGTCACGTGGTTTCCTGCAGCTAATCACTGAGCGTCACAGAAGCAGCTTCTGTAATTTCCCAGTAGCTAAAACAACAAGTTCTTCTGCCAGGGGAAATATTTTATCACCAGCCTCCTCCTGTAATATGAATCCCGGTCTAATGGCACTGCAGTGTGTGATTGTGCTCTCTCGGCTGTAAAAAAGTAATGAGTGTGTGTTTGACGTGAAGCTGTGGTGTGTTTTGCTGCAGCGGTACTCATGGTTACATGGCTCCAGAGGTTCTGCAGAAGGGGACGGCGTACGACAGCAGCGCCGACTGGTTCTCCTTAGGCTGCATGCTCTTCAAACTCCTCCGAGGGTAAACACTCAACACGGCTCTCCTCTTATCTCCTCTTTCTTTTTCTTCTTCCTCTCCTTCTGTGCTCTTTACCCCCACCCCGTCCTGACTTCCTGTCTGCTTTCAAACCTCTTCAGCCGCTCTGAGTAAAGCTTTGAATCTGCTTCTTCACACCTCTCGCCGTCTGTTTGGTGTGTGTTTGATCTTGTTTGTGTGTGTGTGTGTGTGTGTGTGTGTGTGTGTTTGTGTGTGTTTGTTTGTTTGTTTGATCTGGAGTGTGTAAATGCCAGAGGTCTAGGCCCAGTAGGTCAGAAATCAGGTAAAAGGGGGATGTGTGTGTGAGGGTTGCCAGGTTTGAGTGAGCAGAAAAAGAGAGATGTGCGTGTGTGTGTGTGTGTGTGTGTGTGCGCGCGGCGTGTCTTTCCATTGATGTTTGGATCAGTGTGTTTGAACACTTTAAAGAGGAGTGTGTTGGTCTTTGTTGAAAGGTTGGCCGCATGTTTCAACACTCGAATCCTCTGTGAAACCGTTCAAGAGCAAAACAAATAGTTAGTGACATGAATTCTGTTGCAAACGACGTTGAATAATTGAGCTCACACTCAGTCAGAGCTGGACAATGAATCAGGAAATGATCAATATCTTTTTTCTGTCAACAGCATATTTGCTTTCTCTCTGATAGAGAGAGAGAGGCTAGCAGTTCCCCCCTGCTTCCAGTCTTTATGCTAAGCTAAAGTAGCCACATCCTAACTCCACTTCTGTTCTTGAAGCTGCAGCGCTCCAGGAAGTCCAGCGTTCCCTCTCCTTTAGCTCAGTGTTTGCTCCACTGTGTTCACCAGCTGCTGAGTCTGTCAGCTGTTTGCTGCCGAACAGGAAGTGGACAGTTGTTGTTTTTTTTTTTTTTACAGATGTTTCTCAGAAAACAGCTGGATGTGTAATCCAAAACAATGAGCGGAAAAAAGCTAAAACGCTCAGTAGAGCTGAGATCGTCATTAAGATCGAATCCTTTCATATCACACACACGGTGGTTTAATCCAGTGTTGATATACAATATTAATAATAATAACATGAAACATTCATATCAACTTTTTCATCTCACTCACACGCAAATTCAATTCAATAAACTTTATTAGCCCCCACAGGGTGTTGGAGGTATGAGGTATGTGAACTATGCGCTAGAGCAGCAGGGTCAATGTGGAGGAGATAAATAAATATGGAACTGTTCCTTTAAGACTGTAGTGAGTTTTCTGCCTCAGTAAAATGAATCATTTTTTAGGAAGTGTTTCTTAAAGCACCGATAACGATCCCCACATAATGTCCTGTTTAATGATACGATGGTATTTGTTCAAAAATATCATAATATCTGAGTTTTCACATTTCCAATCGGCTTCTTTTATCTACAGATTGATTCTCGATCAAATTCCTAGAAAAAAATATCGCAAAATATGTTTTTATCAAGACATAAAATGACTTGTGTGACTGAAGATTTCACCCAGCTTCCTGTACATGAGCCCATACAGTGTGTTGTGCTCTTTACAGTGTGTTGTTCTTCCAAGTGTTCCCAGAGTTGAGGTCTGGTGACTGGAGTTAAAGTCATGTGAGGTCAGCACTCCTCCGCTCCTCCATCAACTTCAGACAGCTGGAGCTTCACTGCAGCTCTAGAGTCAAATAAACCTTTATCCACAACACTCTGCATGAAAGCAGTCGGTCTGACCACCGTGTTTACATCCAGGCCTCTTGCTCCTCTGTGTGGATTCAGATATATCCTGGAATAAGTTCTCTGACTGCAGCCACGAAGTTCAGACTTTGATTTACTGATTAACGTCCCTCCGGTCTTCGGTCTTGAAGTCATTAAGGCTCCGGCTGAAGAATTACACTCATTGAAGATGTAGTTTGGAAGCTGCTAGTCTCTCATTAAAGCTGCCAGTTGCCATTTGATCACTTACACTAAGTGGAGTACGCTGCTCTTTGTATCTCGGATGGAGATGCTGCTCTCTCTGATAAATATGTTTGCCTGATAAGTGGGTCTCTGAAGCAGCAGCTCGCTGGAGGAGGGCTGCCTGCCTGCCTTTGTTCCGGATCAGAAACGTGTTTGTCTGTGAAGAAAATCTCTCCGTTGTAAATTCTTCAGCTCCCTTAGAAATTTCCAATTTAGCTGCGATCGTCTCTCAGCATCCAGAGGAACAATTTGGTCCCAAACTGCCTCGTGAAACTGAACCTCCTCCGACTTTATGAAAATCTGAAATACGTTGGTAATTGAAGTGCTACCAGTGGACGCAGTGCTGTGAAGAGGAGGGTATGAATTTAATCACTAGCTGATGATCATTAGGACAAATTAAGATGTGTCACATGTTGATATTAATATGCAACACAAACAATGAGTTATATTATATTTGTTCTAAATCAGTTGTAATCATGTGGACGGATTTGTGTCTGTATTCAGAAACTGAGCCTTAAAACCAGCCGTCAGGACTTCTGGAACTTTGTGATGTCACAACAAAGCAGTCACCAAGCCCCGCCCACCTGGACCCACCATCCAAACCTTGCAGGATTTGGTTTCTCTGAGTGTTTTTACCTGAAATCTGCTGCTATACATCCATGGAAACACTGCAAACAGGAAGTGCTAACAGCTAATTCTGCACATCTTTAATGGTGATAATAAAATTTAAACAAAGATAGGCTAAAAAGAAAACACAGGTAGCTAACTGTCTCCATGGCAACATTATACTTCCGTCAGACTTTCAAAATCCCTGATTTATTGTCAAGCAGCTGCAGCAGAAAACACACACGCTTTCCGCAGTGGACGTGAAATGAAACGGTAACCACGGGATTAAAGCACCGGGTCTCATCTTTAATTTGAGGGGCGATCACACGCAGATGAGATGAGCAGCGTGAGGAGTGAAGCCAAATCGCTCTCCGACCATATCGTCCAAAAATACATTAAAATTCCCAGTTTTTCTCTCTGAGAAATCCTCAAAGCTCAGTCGGCACTGGCACCTGCAGGTGGCTCATTAGACCGAGTAAGATCTGGGTCACTTCAAATTACCATTCGTTAATTTTCGAATGTTGTAACATTTATGAGCTCACAGCTTCACTTTTCACCGAGGAGGTGGAGTTTTGAAAGGTGTGATTGGCAGCGAGCGAGTGTGTGATTCATTCTGGATGTTTCCTGCCCTCCTTCTCATTCACCTTACCTCACCCCCTCTCCCTCCCTCTCCCTCTCTCTCTCTCTCTCTCTCTCCAATAATCTATAATCAGAGTGTCAGTATCTCTCTCTCTCTTCTCTCTCCTGTTCAGGCACAGTCCCTTCAGACAGCACAAGACCAAAGACAAACATGAGATTGACCGCATGACGCTCACCATGGTAAGACGTCCACACGCTCTGCATGTCTCCAGTTAATTCCCATCTACCCATCACATAACTTTAAATGAAAATAGGTTGATGATGATCGGCGGCTGATCAATCGGGGCGTTTATCTGGAGTTAAATGGTTATGGTCGTTCACATTTTCAAAATAAAAGAAAACTAATTCCGTTGACTAAAAGCTCTGCTTCAAAGTAAGAGTGCTTCATAGAAATGTGGTGGAGAGGTTCACACGAGGAAGTGCAAATAAATACAGGATCTTTGAAAAGAAATAATTAACACAATTTCCAATATAATCCACAAAAAGTTCCCTGTTCCCTGATTTATTATTCTTGGTTTTTACAAAAGTTTTGTCCCACGTGACCAAACAAAAAAAATATCGGATTCATCTCACAAATTTTTGGAATTAATACCTGACAACCTAATTTGTTAAATTTGATATTTACCAAATAAGACTGTACCCCTTTTTCTTTTTCCTTAATTTTATTTATTTACTTTGATTTACCGATATGTAATTACACATATTAACGCATTGATATATGTTTATAATTAATTTATCATTTTGTAAACCATCATTTTTGTCTCCATAAAAGTTCAGTGTTCAAAGATACAAGATACAATAAAAGAACAATATTTGTCTTTTAAGTGTAGTGGAGTAAAAGTTATAAGTTTCTAAAAGATATAATAAAAATACGTCATTACGGCCCGGCTCTGCCTGGCGTCGGAGCCTCACGCTGACGGAGGTGCGCTCGACGGCGGCCGCATCTATTACAAGATGTTTCTGTGTAAACACGCTGTAAAGTCTTTACTTAACCCTGAGTACATGGGTTTGGCCTGTGTTTAACTTGGAGTTAATACCAAATGCACACAGATGTCCATATCCCTATGCATACTGCTCTGTGTGTGAACAAACAGCGTGCAGATACCTGATGCACGCGTGTTAGAAAACACACACACCTGCACCTGAACGAGCCCAACTGAAGCTGCTGTCGCTTTTCAGTCCGTCTCTGTCGCTCGACGGAGACGGATGTCTTTGTTGTGCAGGTTTTCGGGGTCGTCCTTTAGTGTCTCCGCCTGCTACCATTCAACACTCAGCTGTCTGTTTACTTTGCTGTGTCATGGGAAGACACAGGAGATGAAGCATATGACAGAAACCCGGCTTAGATAAACTGAGCCGGCAGCCAAGCTGGAAAGTTAAAGTACACCCCCCCCCCCGGGGTCAAATGGATTTGTAGCTACATCCAGCGCAGGTGGAGTCGCAGCGTTCTGGGATCTGTTCCAGGAATTTCTTAAAAAGAGTAAATAAAGACGTCAGTTTACACAGTTGAGTATGTTTAAATGTTGCGATGAATCGTGTGCTAGCAGGAGCAAAGTTCCTCTCTTCACTTTAAGTCTCAGTTTAACACCTGGATGAGTCTGGAAGTCGGTCACGGTCCAGTTCACAACATACTCCAGTGTGATGTGGAAACTTGAAGCCCGCAGGTCACAAACACCGAGAACAGACTCCAGTAAAGTAGGAGACGTCTAGCTCCCAGCAGTTAAACATTTATTATCATTATTTACATTTATTATAATATTATAATATTGAGACATGTCTTTGAATTAGAGCATGATCTCTGCAAATCTTCAGACATGTTTAAAGGATGATTCTGATTTGTGACAGTAAATAGTTTTCTCCACATTTTCTATCAGTGATGACAACATTGGATTCACCAAAATAAAAGCTGAGGTTTGGGGTTCATCCACATGAATCACTTTCTTTGGAGGAACAGTGAAATGATTTAAAGAAAAATATATTTAACAAATGAAACTTCAGGCCTGTGTCTGTTGTTTTAAATAACACCTAGTCTCTGTACAGCTGTCAATCATTTGCGCTTGACAGCTCATGACCTGCCTCCAAACTCTGATCTGAAACTGGACAGAAACTTCCAGAGAAGACGACCTGCAGCTGTTGGCAGAGCTTCTTTTTGTCTTTGTCAAAGAGCAAAATTACACATGGCGGTGAATCCAGCTCTAGAAAACCCGAGGCCAAGTGTAAACAGTAGAAAACCAGGAAACAGTCGAGAGTTTCTTCGTCAACAGTGTTTGTTTACAATGTTAATGAACTACAGCTGAGAAAATGTGCAGGTCACAGTCGTTGCAGCTGCTTTAGGACACGCTCACAATTTATAGGTGTTCATTTTAAAACGCCGCCAACACACCTGAAAACACACACATACATGACCGTTCACGTACACTGAGCATGTCCGAACCGATGTGAAAAGTAGAAAGTACAACCCCAGACTTTTCAAATTAAAACACAACCCCAGAGTTTTCAAAATAAAACGAGTCCAGCAGCGTTTCCAGGAGGCGTTTCAGACGAGTAGTCAAGTCGATGTTTATTTGTTCACAACAGAAGTTATCTCTAGGCACTTTTCAGACAGAACAAGTTTAGACTTCTCTTCATGATATTATTCACAGAGACACAACAGTTCACAGTGAAGACGTCACGTAGCGAAGAGATGTTTTAAAGCTACAGTGCAGTCGTGTGGATATAAACTTCAGCTCACACTCACAGCAGCTTGTTACCACACTGTTCACTGTAAATGTAAGATGAAATTAAAACTAAAAGAAAATTTTAATTGTCATCCTAATGTCATTGTTAGGAGACGTACAGACTACGTCACCTCCACATCACTGTGTCTACGTTCACACCCGGCGTCCACACGACTCCAGAGTTTTCAAACATGTTTTATTTTGAAAACTCCAGGGCTTTGTTTCAGTCCTGATGAGCAGAAGATTTACTGATGAAGAAAATAATCGTTAGTTTTCCATCTATCCATTCTCTTCTGCTAAAGCAGAGTCCGTCCAAGTGTTGCTGTTACTAATAGAGATTATGGCCAACGATGCAAAATAAGACGTATTTGTTTCAGGAGTTGCAGGATGAGTGAAGGTTTCAATACAAGAACGCTGAGGTTCGATACCCAGCGTTAATCAGAAGATATCCCGACACCCCCGGCCTTGTGTCAGACAGTATAAAGCACACAGTGTATTGACTGTGTCATTGTCTGTCAGAGGAAAACACTGTCGAGCCTTTTGATGTCACCGGTCAGATTCAGCAAACACTGGGGATGAATGGCGTCCATTGAGCCCACCCAGTGACATATCTGCTCTCACCCACCTCTTTTTCCTCTTCACATCCAGACCTCAGCTCCGCCACAGACTCTTTACACTGACAAACTGTAAAGTGAATTTTCCCTCTCTCTCTCTCTCTCTCTCTCTCTCTCTCTCTCTCTCTCTCTCTCTCGCCGGCGGCAGCGGCGGTTGTCCATCACAGTGGATGGCGTCCAACTTTGTGTCCGTTTATGGGTTTTGTCAGGACATGAAGCGATTTGAGAACGATAGCTGCTCCCTCCCACACACACACACACACACACACACACACACACACACACACACACTCTGGCGCTGTTTGGTTGAGCAGGACCTTCTCTCTCTCTCTCTCTCGCCGGCGGCAGCGGCGGTTGTCCATCACAGTGGATGGCGTCCAACTTTGTGTCCGTTTATGGGTTTTGTCAGGACATGAAGCGATTTGAGAACGATAGCTGCTCCCTCCCACACACACACACACACACACACACACACACACACACACACACACTCTGGCGCTGTTTGGTTGAGCAGGACCTCTAAACAGAGAAAGTATGATCTTTCATATCACAATAAATCCAGATTAGGATTTTAATCCAGCCACTTAATCTGGTTTATCCCTTTAATCCCGGTGTGTGTGTGTGTGTGTGTGTGTGTGTGTGTGTGTGTGTGTGTGTGTGTGTGTGTCTGAGAGAGAGAAAGAGACGGGGGGGGGGCTTGCACATCAGCCCCGACCAGGCTAAAAATACGGCTCTATATGTCTTTGTGTTTATTAAACATGATGAATGGTCTCATTAAATAAACACGATGGGAGCAGACGGCAGTGAAAAGGCTGAGAACTGAGCCGCCAAGACAGGAAGAGACGGATAGAGGGAGGGTTGGAGCGGATCCCGATGGATGGCACCGACAGCAGCAGCAGCTCAGGAAAGCAAGAAAAATGAAAGGGTGGAGGTGTGAGTTGAGCTGTAGTGGAGGTTTTCAAACTGGGAGGTGTCTTCCCAGGAGGCCGCAGGAGCAGAGACTGCATGAGGTGAAAGACACAGGCGCATACCGGCGTCCTAAAAACAAGTTAGTTATTAAAGTTTGGCCACTGATCCGTCCCACTTACGAAACACGGTCACCGCTCTTCAGAGTCACATCATTATCTCGCAGATAAACATCTTTAAATACGCCATCAGGTCTTTCACTTTTCCTCAGTGAGACTGACAGTTATCTGTACATCTGTGTGTACGCTGCAAACAGGAAGTGCTGAAGGCTAATGCGGCACACTTGGTTGTGAAATATAAAGAATAATAGCTCAAAAATAAATAAAAGTGGGGCTGTAGATTCAGTATGACTGCCACTTCCTGACGACATCATTATCTCACAGATAAAGTTTTTGAATCAGCTTAGAAATCACTGAAAATAGAGGCTCATTGTAACTCGGAGCTTCATCCAGATTCATCACGTTTTTAACTTTTCCTCAGACGGTTATCTACATCTGTGTGTACAGTGCAAACAGGAAGTGCTGAAGGTTAATTGGGCACGCTTCGCCGTCCACACGTTTGGAACTGTAGTTTTTAAACTGAGACTTTGCACTATCAATATATATTTTTTTATTGTTTTTATTTACATTAATAAGGTTCAGTGTGTCCCATCAATGTGATTCTTATATTCCTGGGACACTGACACTCTCCTTTATCCATTCACATGCAGATGTTTACAGATGTTTGACCTGTGTTGACAACCTGAGGACAGACGGACAGAGAAGTCAACAGTTTAAAATGTGGGACGGTAGACGGGGGGGGGGCGTCCCACCGTGTCAGACCTCTTTGAAAACGTCTGTGTTGTAATAATAGTTGTGAATGATGCTGATGTATTTTCACAGACGCCGTTCTCACTCTCCACCTCTTCGTTTTCCTCCCTCCTTCTCCTGCAGAACGTGGAGCTGCCAGACTCGTTCACTGCAGAGCTCAAAGACCTGCTGGAGGGGCTGCTACAGAGAGACGTGTCCAAGAGGCTGGGCTGCCAGGGCCGAGGGTACGACACACACACACACACACACACACACACACAAATGAAAAGTTCACATTAATCCCCCGTCCCATACCGGCATTGGTGTCCACAGGCGTGAAAATGAGCTCATCAATCAGACGGGTTTTGTGAGATGTTCTCATTAGTGCTGAAAACACCGGGCGTTGCGGTGAAGACGGATCGAGACAGACACCGAGTGATCCGATAGACGCTGAGTTCATAACTAATTTCATCAGCGCTGTCGTCTCCCATCAGCTTAGAGCTAAAGCGGAGTGATGGATCGCTGTCTGCACCGGCTATTTGGCTAAATAGCAGGATTATGAGAGAGTTTGTCAGAGCGGAGTCGTGTGGCAAACACTGCCACCTAGTGCACAGATGAAAACAAACATGTGAAAATCCTCTCTCTCTCTCTCTCTCTCCCTCTCTCTCCCTCTCTCTGTCACACACACGCAGAGCTCCAGAGGTGAAGGAGCACCAGTTTTTCAAAGGCATCGACTGGCAGCAGGTGTACCTGCAGAAGGTGAGTGAGTGTCATCGCTCAGCTTCTGATCTTTGTGCTGCAGCTCTCAGATTCTGTTTTCAGTCTGTGGGTTTGTTGTTTTGGTCGATCCATGTCGGACTCCTCCTGACTCTTATTCATGACTAATGACATTCACACAGGCTGATATTGATTGATTGATTGATTGATTGATTGATTAATTGACTTTAATGTCCGCCTCAGTGGAAATGTGTCTTCGGCCTCTTCTAGAGAAAGAACAATAAAAAACATAAAACAACAGCAACAGAAAACTGATCGATACTTGAGAACTTGATCAAATTTGAATCAGTGTCTGTTGCTGCTGATGGTTTTAATACTAATTGATCTAAATAAGTTTTTTTCTAGATGTTTTTTGTCAATATGAATCATCACAGTTGTTTTGGAGGAGATGTTCAAAGTGAAAGGGCGCAGGAAGAATAGATGCTGTAACCCAAAAGCTAACGGGATCTTAACAAACAAACACATCATGTGTCCTCAGTCCGATCGAGTGAGAAGAAATAATTCATTTGTTAATTTGAATTATTAAGAATCAGTATTTGGACCTTTTTATGTCTAATTCATATAAATGTGTCACGTCATAAACACTTAACACACAACGACAGGAAGTCTGTTCGACCTCATGAGTTGGATGAACGTGACGGACACGTTTGTTAGATACGTGTAAATGTGGAGTGAGAGGAAACGTTGCGGTTTGTTTGTGCAGCAGATCAGGTTTAAAGCGACGCTGGATGGAGCTCCACCAGTCATTAGTCCACTACAGTTACAGTTGCCATGGTTACCCCATCACTCCAGGGAAGCACTGCTGTGGGACTGAAGTCTTGTTTTGCTCACACTTGTCTGTTTCTGTGTTTCTGCCCCCCCGCCCCTCGTCCTCCTCTTCCTCCTCCTCCTCTTCCTCCTCCTCCTCCTCCTCCTCCTCTAGTACTCTCCTCCTTTAATCCCTCCCCGGGGGGAGGTGAACGCCGCCGATGCTTTCGACATCGGCTCTTTTGATGAAGAGGACACCAAGGGCATCAAGGTAAACCGCTCGCACACGTCCATATGTTTACATCCGTTTCCCTCGATTAATCAATAGAATATTCAGCAGATTAATCAATAAAGAAAATAATAAATAAATAGTCACAACAGCTGCTGTTTGTCGATCGTACATCAGGACCTTCCTGCTGTTCACCATCAATATTCTAGAGTCAGTTTTATATAAACGTTTCTTTTCTTTTCTTTCCATCTTGAAACGGAGATAACTTCCTGGATTGTGTCTCGACAGGTTAATACACACCTGGGTTAAAATACATCCCTTTTTCAGGTAGTAAAATAGTTCAATGGGATATGTATCGTAGAAAAAGAAAATAGAAAGAGGATGTTGCATTTGACTTTGTAATTGCAAGTCTATTGCAGCTTGTTAAATGTTCTTAATTATCCTTTAAATAAAGAAAAAAAGAGCAGGTCAATAATGTATTGGTTGATTTTTAGACAATTAGACACTTTTTTGATGATTGATTACAATTATTTTAGTCATTTTCTCAACAAAAGCATCAAAATGTTTCTGTTTCCCGCTCAAATGTGAAAATCTTCAGCTTTTTCTTCGTCATATTTGACAGTGAACTGAGTCTCTGAAGATGCTGTTATTCGATAGAACCAGTAGAAACACAGACAGGAAATGAAGGGAGGGAGAAGCGGAGTGACGGTCGGGGTCAGGTCGCCCCAAAAACAAGCAGCTTCAACACGACGCCTCGGGGAACGAATGACGGCCTTTTCTTTCTGCTTTATTAAAAATGAAAGATGAAGAAATTTTGAAAACAATCAGCAGATAAATGAATATTAAAAATGTAAAAGCTGATATCAGACGACGCAGTGAAAACAGGCGAAACCTGCTGCAGATTTAATGAATATTATTCATCAGCCACAGGTTCATGAAAATAAACTCTGCACCTGTTTGTGGTTTTTTTGTTACTTTTTTCTTTCCACTGTGAAACTAAACACACGTCACACTGACACCAAAACACTGATCACAGATAAACTGTTTTAATTAACGGTGAGAATCAGACGCGTGAAGCCGATTTCCTCCGAATAAAAGAAACCAGCGTGAAACCACCGAGTGGCAGCAGCTAAACTCTGCTTTGTTTTCTAACGTCACAAAGACGCGGCTCGATGCAGCGAAGAGAGTGCCGCTGCATCGAGGTGGAGCTGAGCCGCAGACGCAGGTTTTAGTTTACGCTCTTCATCATCTCGCTGCAGGTGAGGGCTTCAGGGTTTCCTCCTCCGTTAACGTTAACGTGGCCTCGGTCACTCATCCTCCTCCTCCGCCGCCGCTGCTCTGCAGAGGAGTAAAAGACGAGGAGCGTTTGTTTACATTTCCCCAGACAACGCTCGTCGTTAACACAGGAGTAATCGTCTAAATAACGTTAATGTGAGAGCGTTAAGACGGAGGACGTGCGGCTCCCCTGATGTTAATCCACTCACAACAAAATGACTTTCTGTCTGCGAGAGAACAAATACACGAGTTTCTTAAAGAGACAGTGAAAGTTACACAGAGGCGGTTTCACATCTTCTTCTCTTATTGATATAAATGAGGATGAAATATTCTCTTTCAAATGTTTTTATTGTGAAGCAGAAGCACTCTTCGCACTGCAGGAGGTTGAACAGACAAATTGCTTTATTTTAACCATTAATAAATAAAGCCGACTCTCCGTCCTTTAACGCTGTCCGTGTCATCCGTCAGTGTTGTTGTTCATGAACTTAACAAATGAACAGGTGGTTGAGCTGAATGTGATCACATGACCAGAAGTGATGAGTTGAAACCCAGAGAAGAGACGTTATCAACACTTTATTGATCCCCGGGGGGGAAAGTAAGTTGCAGTTGCTCCCTCAGCAAAGACTAGAGAACAGGAAGTAGATTATAAAGATAAAATATAAAAATATGAACTATGTAAGGACATGAGTTAAATATTGGACTTGTTGTATGAACCTGCTGCTCCGTCTCCGTGTGTGTGCCTCAGTTGCTGGACAGTGACCAGGAGCTGTACAAGAACTTCCCTCTGGTCATATCGGAGCGCTGGCAGCAGGAAGTGGCGGAGACGGTGTACGAGGCCGTCAACTCGGACACGGACAAGAGCGAGGCTCGCAAGAGAGCCAAGAACAAGCAGCTGGGCCACGAGGAGGGTAAAGAACACATATGATACTGAACACAGAAACAGGCGGGGGGGGGGGGGGGGGGGAGTCCGGCGGCCGCTCTGACCCTCTCTCTCCTTGCAGACTACGCTCTGGGTAAAGACTGCATCATGCACGGATACATGCTGAAGCTGGGGAACCCCTTCCTGACTCAGTGGCAGCGCCGATACTTCTATCTCTTCCCCAACCGTGTGGAGTGGAGGGGCGAGGGCGAGTCGCGGGTGAGTTGACCTCGCAGCACCGTGTCCACGTGTCAGGTTGACGTGTGTCTTTCTGTCTGTCTGTCTGTCTCTCTCTCTGTCCTGCTGCCGCTCATCTGTCTGTCTGTGTATGATCACTGTCTGTCTGTCTGTCTCATCCGTCCGTCCACACTGAAGGAGAAGTGGCTAAAACATTTTAAAAAGCAGAGAGACGGGGTGAGTTACCACCAGGTCCCCGCTGTGTCCTCAGAGCCCCTCCCCCGCTGAGGTTTAGAGTCCAGCCCCCAGCCCCCCCCCCGCCTCAGACTCAGTGTGTTCCAGTCTTGGGACCCCCCCCTCCTCCTCAACCTGCTGCTGGTAGATGAAGCTGGAGTCGTGTCCACTCAGAGCTGGTTAAAGTGGGAGGTCTTCTTCTGCACCTGTATTAACCCTTTGAACCCTGTCTGACATGAAAATCACTCGTCTTCTTCTCCACGTCATAACGTCCATGAAAATGATTTTTTATTTATTTTTTTATTTAACTCTGTTCGTCTGTGATTCGCTGCTGCTTCACACAGACGCGTTGTCTTGTTCTGAGTTTTTGTCCTTGTTGTCCTCTGTGTCCGAATTGCACTGAATTGGACGCCAGGCGCGACTTGTCATGTTTGATATGTTAACGTTCTCCTTCTTGTCTTTCAGTTAACATCAATCCCATCAGCATGGTTCACATATTTTCAGAGCTCAGAGTCATTTTATCTTGATCGCCAGGTAAACTGTAGAAACTCCTCCTTCATCATTTAAACTGATCTACCTGGATACTTTACGCTTGCACGTGTTTTAATGGCCGCCACTGCAGATGACATTGTGTTGCAGCTAAAGTGAAGGGTGGGAGTGAGACAGGGTTCAAAGGGTTAACAGCTGACACTTTACCGGACTTGTGTTTGTCACCTCTGCAGCTCTGCAGTGACTCTGGTTCTCTGGGCCGGAGGTCACCCTGGGGAGCAGTAGTCCTCCAGCTTCAGCCCTCATGCATCTTTATCTGTGTGTTTCTGCCTGTCACGCTTCACCTGTGCTCACTTGTGATTGGTCGATTCTGTTCACAGCAAAACCTGCTGACGATGGAGCAGATCGTGACGGTGGAGGAGACGCAGATTAAAGACAAGAAGTGCATCCTGCTGCGCATCAAAGGAGGGAAGCAGTTTGTGCTGCAGTGTGAGGTACAGACACTGGAAAACACAAACAGCTGATCCATTTGTTGTCGTTTTTTTAACATTATTTTATTAATTTGTCTCACAGCCAATCAAAGAGCCGCAGCTCAGACTGCAAAACAGAAATGAATGAACAGGCTTGGGTTGCATCATATGAATTATTAAAACCATATTATCACCATTAACTTTATCATGAACATTCTTGTTTACATTATTATCATCAAAGGGATGAAGAAAACAAAACACACGGAAAAATATAATGATAAAGATAAATAAAATGAAATGAAAATAAATAAATAAATAAATAAAGGTCACTGTAACCTCGACCTTTGACCCCCAAAATCTAGTCAGGTCGTCGGTGTGAAGCGTCAGCTGACCCCTGTGTCTTCTTGTGTGTGCAGAGCGACCCGGAGTTCGTGCAGTGGAAGAAGGAGCTGACCGAGGCGTTCACAGAAGCTCAGAAGTTGCTGCGTCGCGCCCCCAAAGTCATCGGGAAGGGGCGGGCCGGAGTGGTGGAGCTCTCCAAACCCCCCCTCACACACCGCAATAGCAATGGCCTGTGAATACACACATTATATATATATAAATATATATACATATAAACACACAACACACACGTCTTGACACACACACACACACTGCCACACACACACACACACACACTGCAACCCACCGCCACCCCCCCCCCCTCCCATCCTCATCAGCCACAGGACATTTGCTCTGACACCTTCCCACCGCCGCCCACGACGCCTCGCGGTGTGTGTTCACACACTGATCCCACCAGCCTCTCACTGAACACACACGCTCCACATGACGACCAATCAGAAAGCGCAATGTAGTTTCTTTTTTTTTCTGCCCGTCGACGAGACGAGACGAGGAGAGACACGTTCAGGACTCAGCATGTGAAGACCCTCTGCATGAATGTGACGAGGACTGACCCCGGTCCTTCGACTGGTTCGTCTCCCCCCTCCCTCTAACGCCCCTCGCTCTGTTACTGAAGTGCGTAAAGTGCCAACATCAACATTTACTTGAGTCACCTGAGGACCTGCTCTGGTGGCAGACACGCCCCTCCACCCCCCCTGGAGGGCGTTGGCGGTGGCGGTGGCGGTGGTGGTGGCGGTGGTGGTGGTGATTGGGGGGGGGTGGGGGGTGGTTTATCATTCCAAAACAGAAAAACCGGAAGTACAAGGACCCACAGACTCTCTCAGATTGGCTCTTGTACAGCCGGTTGCCATGGAGACTGAGATTTCATTGGCTGACAAAACAGCAGCCGGTTGCCACGGGAACCATGAAGACTGGTATACCTTGGAATTGGTAACCACGGACAACGGTGTAACTATTGTGTATGAAGGCTACACTTGCAGAAAAAAATGAGGATAGCAGAGGAAGGGGGGAGGAGGGGGGAGGAGGTAAGACTGAGGAGAGAGGACAGGAGACAAAGAGGGAGAAAGAGATAGAGGAATAAGGAAGTTAGGAGGAGGGAGGAAAGGGGGTGAGGAAGGAGGAAGTAAAACAAGAAAGAAAAAAAGGAGAAGGATGGAAGGAGAAAATAAAGGAGGGAAAGAGAGAGAGGGAGGAAAGGAAGGAAGGAGGAGAAAA